TTCATTTACCCCATGGTACTACTACTTCCCGGTGATATCTGTATTTCCTTCAGGATATACCCCATATCCAAAGCCTCCTATAACCATCATATATTCTGCATGTTATTCAATGGTTGTGGGATAGAACTTTTTTCTATATTTGGATATATCTTACATTACTGATAGAATATGTTTGATTGTGCTAATCGATAAATGTATGTTTCATTATACAAGTAGAATATGTTTTATTGTATAGATGCATATTTTATTGAAATATTAGATACATATTTTATTATACTGGTGGAATATATTTTATCGTTGTGGTAGATATTTATTTTACTCTATCAGATATGATATATTCCGTTGTGCTGCAAGTGTGATGACCAGATAAAATCATGATAGATGTTCTCAACAAAAATATTTGACCACAATATGACATATCGCTGATGAAATGGAAATCAGAAAAATCCCCCAGGATTTCACTTCTTTATTAGCCCCATGGTATGTAACACTGAAAACCTTTCATGATCAAGATCTTCTATTAACAATATCATTATAAAAACCAGTGGAACAAAACAGTGATCAATCACTCTATAAAGTAATTTCAACTAATCTGATTCGTGTTGATTTGAAGGATACTAAGCATTCAAATTGTTGCACTTATTTATGACGAATCCGGGATGTTCCGTTATGAATAATTGCATAAAAAGTAGGATATCCCGGATTTATTTCTCTATTTATTTGATCTACAAAACCTAACTTTTAGTCAACAAATCAATAATATATTTGCTTATTGTCAATGTAACTTTCATTTATTGAGCATTTCTGTCAGGTTTGATTTATTGCTCGAAGATTTTTTCTCTTTCGTGATTTATTGCATTTGCCATGCAAAATTGGGACATGAAGGAATTATTAGGTTTCTACAGAGAATATGATAAGTTGTAAGTTCCCCTTCACTCCAATTCCTTGTCATTCCTCTGTATCTGGTTGATATATTCATGTGATGTTAAAGTATTAAAGGTATTGTTATCAATAACTATACAGAGCAATGCCTTAGTCATATTTGACTTCCAAAAATCAAGAAAAATGTGCTGTATAAAATACAGTATAGGGATAAGGATGTAGATTTTCTATTTCGATTTTGTGAACCTACAGCCACCACACGGCGACTGTAGAGCAAATGTGACTGAGGCTTAAAATAAGTCTTGTATGATGACTTTTCCAAGTGGTGACATTTCATCATGTGAATGTTTTATTAAATCTATATGTAACTCAACTTGATCATCCCATGCTAGTGGTTTGAACTTCATCAATTTGATTGATTTGATTCTGAATAAAACTCGCCACAAGGTCAGTGCTTTATTGAGGAATTATCACTGATCTGAAGTGAAATTGTGGCTCAAAAGTAGTCACAGTTGAACTATTTCCTAACCCCGTTGCATGTGTCTGTTATTACCAATCACACAGATAATTTGTAAGCATACTGACAGTGAACTCCAGGAACATGATTTAAGTATTAACCCATTTGTTGTTCATCTGAGTTATACAGGGTGATCCAGAAGTAAAGTCAAAGATTCTACCATTTTAATGCTACAGAACCAATCTTCTTTACCCTGCATGCAGAGTCTAGTTAAACTACACTCTGCCTAGTAGAGACCATATTACAGTTTTGCAGCCCCGCCCCCACGACGGGTACTGGTGACAGTTTGGATAATAAATCACTTTTGACCTACGCGCTGACCTTTCTTCCACCAATCAGCGAGCTTGAAGAAACATATGCCAAATGCGTTCTTATTAAATATGCGCATGTCATTGGTCAATTCTGGGCTCAACGATGACGTCAGAAGGTATGACCATATATAGAAAGTCGGTCAAATTTGGCCGACGAACACTGATTGGCGGTGTGAGTTCACAGGTTTATTTTAGTTTGAAAGAGTGAAGACGAAGCTCTCTTTTAAGAAGTGAAGTCAAACGAATGCAAAGAGTAAATCTTCTTCGAACTATGGACAGATATTCCCCCAACGTTTTTTAGTTAATACCTCAAAAATAAAACTTCTACTATTTGATTAGTGCATTTTATGACTATTATGATTACCCGATGTTAAGTCACTTCTGGATCACCCCGATAAGTTCCTGGTTTTATGATTAATCGATGTGAAGTCACTTCTGAATCACCCTGTAAGTTCCTGGTTTTATGGTTACCTGACGTGAAGTCACTTCTGGATCACCCTGTAAGTTCCTGGTTTTATGATTAATCGATGTGAAGTCACTTCTGAATCACCCTGTAAGATCCTGGTTTCAGTCACTCAAGGTCATTAAACTATTGACCCATTTGTAAAGAGCACATTTTTTTATATTCTCTGAGGAATAAAGTCTAACAAGCTGACATCCTTATTGCATTCAATTATGCACACTGTGCTTGCAGAAAACATTGAGGTTTTCATACTTTAAATAAAAATATATAGACAAGGGTGAAACCAAAAGATATAATTTTTTACGCCATGTAGAGTAGACTCCAAATTATACAGAAGTCCAAGAAAACAGTATAGTTTTAGAGCGATCAGAGTAGAATATGTACAACTAGTGAAAATTGCGATCAAAGGTTTTGGTGCTAATCTGAGTGATGTTATGTCAGCTCGTCAGACCTTTAAAGCAGTAATTTAAAATTACTACAGAGCACAGTAAAACATCTATATGTGAATCCCTGTCTTGTAAACACCTTCAAACACTAAATTACCACTGAGCACAGTAAAACCTGTGAATACATCTCTATACATATCTTTATAGTAAACACCTTCAAACACTAAATTATCACAGAGCACAGTAAAGCTTATGAATGTGAACACATGTCTGTAGTAAACACCTTCAAACACTAAATTATCACAGAGCACAGTAAAACCTATACATGTGAACATATTTCTTTAGTAAACACCTTCAAACACTAAATTACCACTGAGCACAGTAAAACATGTGAATACATCTCTATACATATCTCTGTAGTAAACACCTTCAAACACTAAATTATCACAGAGCACAGTAAAACCTATACATGTGAACATATTTCTTTAGTAAACACCTTCAAACACTAAATTACCACTGAGCACAGTAAAACCTGTGAATACATCTCTATACATATCTCTATAGTAAACACATTCAAACACTAAATTATCACAGAGCACAGTAAAGCTTATGAATGTGAATACCTGTCTGTAGTAAACACCTTCAAACACTAAATTATCACAGAGCACAGTAAAACCTATATGTGTGAACATATTTCTTTAGTAAACACCTTCAAACACTAAATTACTACAGAGCACAGTAAAACATCTATATGTGAACCCCTGTCTAGTAAACACCTTCAAACACTAAATTATCACAGAGCACAGCAAAACCTATGTTAACACCCTTTTTAGTAAACACGTTCACATATGAATAATTATGGTCTAATATTTTATACACCTTTGTCGATTCCAATCCAAGAATTTATTTAGTTATAAACTTCCCTTTACCTAGTATAGACCATATTATACAGTTTAGCAGCTCCTGCCTTACGACTGGTGCCTGTGACACCCCTCATCATAAACCATTTCAAGCCTACCCTGTTTACCTTATTTTACAGTCAATCAGTGAAGTGGAAGGAACATGCGTTAAATGCATGCTCATTAAATCAGTAGAAATGACCAGATATAGAAAGTCATTCGTATTTCAACAATCAATTCTGATTTGCTCGGTGAGTTCAGAGATTTATAGTAAAATGAAAGTGGAAAAACGAAGCTCTCTCTAAATGAAGTTGAATGATTTGCGAAGGTTAGGAATTTTTAGAATATTCATTAGGGATTTATATAACATTTATATTTATTTGGCCGAAACATTGATGCAGAATTGAGGGAGAAATGATTTCACAAATACAAACTCACATCTTTCTAAATCAAACTTCAGAAAGAAAGAATGTTAAATGAACAGCAAACAACATTAGGACATCAAATTAGGCGTAAATGAAGGACAAAATAACAAAATATTTTGTCCAGTAATGGCAAATGATTAGACATTCATTAGGATTTGTTATTTCTTTGTTGTTTGAGCATGTTAATTCATGGTTGTGTCATCATGAACTGACGCTGAATTAGCCGTGAACTACCAATGATAACATAAAAGGCTTTACAGAGACCCAATGTAAGAATTAATATGGTCATCAAATGAAATGCAAAGTAGAGTAAACAAGAGTGAATTCAGCAAGAAAGAAACTAACCAGGCCTGATGTATATACTCCAAACTTTTTACAAATTCCAAAAAATGGGACACTTTATTCAAATTTTAGAGAGAAATCGGTGAAATAAATTTAATGAAAGACAAGTTCAAGGTTGGGCCCTTAGAGTACATAGTTAGTTGTCATATAGCTTTTCTCGCTACTGAGAGCCAAGTAATAGAGATTCACAATTTCTCCAGCCTGTAGTCAAAACAAAAAAAACAATTGTTGGAAATTTGATTAGTTTTATTGACACAATGGATTAGTATGGATAATGCAATATATTTATCTTCTGTAAACTTGTTTATATTCCTTGATCGCTGCGGCATCTCAAACCACTGTTTCATTTGGATAGTAACAGTGTTCAGCTGACTTGCGAATCTGACATGTTGTTGGGGAACACGGATGTTATTAGAAAGTACCAGCATTGAAAAACAAATTTTCTCTCCTGGGAAAAAGTCTTAAGTCACACAAATTGGATTAAAAGTAGGGTTCATGTTATTATGTTTAGGAGACAGCTTTATAAAGAGGTATTCATTAAGGTGTTCATTTTACAGAATACAGACATCTTCTTTTTACAGCAGAAGTGTTCATCTTACAGTTAACATTATCATGAAAGTATTCATTGTACAGGAAATGTTCATTTTACAAAAGTGTTCATTTCTTGTGTGTTCATGTGACAGATGTAGTGTTCACTTGCAGATGTTTGACTGTGTATTTTACTGTAATAGGAACATACGATCATTATTAATTATTGAATTCGCTGTTATTGCAGATTAAAGCGACTAAAAGTACAGAGCCTGCATCAGTTATGTAATACTGAAGGTGTCATTCTCAAGGAGTTATTGGAAGATGCTTCGCTTGCAGAGAATTATGAGGATTTCTACACAGCGTTAGATCAATTGAGAGCCGATACGAGTCAATGTACCCCTCCATACAGTCAATATACATATAAAACTGGAGATAATTCACTGCTATGTAAGTGTTTTTTATTTAGATGATAATATAGCAAACCATGGATGTTCTATCATTTTTATCTCACCATGCATCAGAAGTGGTGATATGTTATTATAGTCTCCAACCTTTTTGTGGACAGTGTTCGGCAGTTGGTGTTAGACATTTTGTGGTTGGTGTTCAGCGTTCTGCGGTGTCAGTAACAAATTCTTACAACTTCAATAACTTAACAAGTACTGTTTAGACTGACTTCAAATTTTTACTGTTACCATGACAACGTATTGAAGGTCATGAAAAGGCCAAACAGTTTTTTTCAACTTATTTCAAATTGACCTTTCAAAATCATCTACATGTTCTCAGAAGTTCAAATCTGACTTTAGATTTGAGATTTGGCCTTTGGTTGACATTCATCTGTAACAGTTGTTACACTTTTGTAACCATCTGGAGGACAATTTATGGCAAATATGTAAGTTAGGGATGTCACGGTCTCTATTTCTTAACTCAATTGAAAAAAATGTCAGTCTTAGATCATAACATGCATTTGGGTAGTTTAAATGGCATTATACAGGATATCTTTCCCTCAAACATGGATCAAAATTTTGGGTTCACGGGGGCTGTCCCATCTCTAGAGCACAAAGTTCTGAGAGACGTCACAATATCATCTTGTCACAGACAATAAACATCAACCAATTCAGGAGATGTTGTTATGGCAAAATCCACCCTTAATTAAATAAGAATAGAAATCAACTTACACATAATCGAGAAAAGTACAAAATATTATGATAATACAGTTATTGTCTAGAATATTGACATATCGTAGTGATTGATTACTCCTACCCTTGACACTTGATGTGTAATCTATGAATGAATGATGTGTCTTAGTTATGGCGGGGAATAAGAATTAGCTCCGTCTGCTTCTGCTTGGAATGTTTTATTGCATGGATTTGCTTATTCGACTCATTTCGTACGTACTAACATTTGATTGAAGGGTCTGGTTTTTTATTTAGCATTTTTGTACAGCTTAGAGTTTGGACTGTATGCTTGTTAACTCTGTTCCTCGGAGATTCCTTTTATTGAATCATATTTTAAACCATGACCAATTTGTTTTCTATATTTTCAGGCAAAATGTTATTTACATTGTTCCGTGATTTCTGCCTCTTTTCCTTGCAGATTTCTCTCATTTAGACATCTTTCTCCATTTTTAAAGCATGGCCAATTTCTTTTTTCTGTTTCAGGCAAAACATTTTTTAGATTGTTACATGATTTCTGCGTCGAATCCTGCAAATCCTACCTTGAAATAATCGCAGGGGAAATCATAATTATTATGTTGAATCAAACCCTTTTATCTTGATCTACAAGGATTTCACTTGTTCTAACCTCACATTTGCAATTTCAATATCACATGGGAAATGATGATATGAATAGATCAAATGTATACATTAATAAAGAAATAATCAACATGATGATCTTTTCCTAATTTCAGATCATCATTACCCACATGGATTTGTATCTCAGATATGCATTCGAATAAGCATTTCTAAAATTCCCAGGGTTAAAATATCTGTATTATATTTTAGCAGTAACCCATACAGATTTCTCTTGATATTTCTGCTTCCTTCCCAGTAATCAAAAACCAGATTTTTTTCCAGGCCTAAACAGTCTGTTTCATAAGAAACTGCAAGTTACAGCAAATGTAACTTTTGAAGTAAGAAGGTGAAATATCCCAAAATTCATAGATGGACCTATCTCCATATAAGGGTAATCCTCTAGATGTTCAGATTTACAAAGAGATGTGTTCATCTATGAATTCTGGGGAATGTGTAATCCCTCTGCTTATTTGAATTGCAGATCTGAAGTTCAGACAGACAAATCAACAGATAATCCTGCATATTCAGGGATTCTTTTGTATTTTATCAAATGCTTCACTAAAGATGTCAAGGGCCTTAATAAGATCTGCTGTATGTTAATGTCAGATAGATAGGTCATTGAGTCTTTTTGAGGCTGCTTAAGATTCCAGATGTAATCATCTTGACTGCCTCTTTAAAATGTTCAATAATTTGTCTTGGCTTAAAGTTTTGAATTTTTTATATTGGTTGAAACAGTATAGGGATTTTATTGATTTTCCGCCAGAATTTATATATTTTGCATTTACAATTTTTAATGGGAGTTTTATACAAATTAATCACAAATTAATCACAAATTAATCACAAATTAATAACATTGTGTTCAATTATCTCTCTTCATATACAAAATTTTGTAATGATGATTTGTCTTTCACTTGAAAAATGAAATACAAACACTCTTCACTTATGATATCATCATTTACTTCTGCCACAACTGTTTGAAAGACACTATCCCTTGTGACACACAATTTGATTCACAAGGTTGCAGTTGTTCCTACCTCTAGACCCTATTGGAAAGCTACAATGTCATCATGTGATTTTATGATTACCATATTCTTTAAATAAACGTGCACCAGACTTTTCTATGAAGGACTCTGGCAACTTGAGTCATAACAAAAACCAAGAAAAAATAGTGATAATAGGGTAAATTAAATCCTCAGGGATTTTTTCATTCGACACATCTCCCCCAGGAGAATTTAGGAGCCACACTGTGTTTATAAGGGAGAATACGGTACCAATAAGTTCCTTCTCTCTCTTAATGCATGCTTTATATATGTACATGTAGATGTTGTCTTTAATTGTAGGGATAATACTATGGCCTCTATGGATGGTGTATGGCTTACTATCAACTGTTGTGCTCTTTACCTTCTGGGGTGAGGACCAAAACAAAAACTGCTCAGTTTTTAAATTTTTTAATTATGTGTGTTTTTAGAGGTTCTGTAATTAACTTTTGAAAGGCAAATCTAGGCTCATCTTTGATGTCTTGAACTCTGTGTTTGGATGATAGTCTAATATATTTTGACAGTGTGTGTGACAGTAGTAATATTTGACCTTATAGATATCTTTTTTTATTTTCATTTTCTCACTTTCTCTAAGCAAGGAGGCTTGGCCCCCAGGGACAATGACATAACTTTATATTTTCCAACAATAAAAATGTCAGAATGTCGTTATTTTCTGAAATTATAACTGACTATAAATTAATAATCAACAGTCCAAAAGATTCGAACTAATATCTCAATCCTTTCTTGTATGTTTTGGAATTTTTCATTTGGAAATAAGACCAAAATTCGCGATTCAAATTCTGAAGTGAACAAATGGTGGCTGTTTGAATTCGAATTTTGTAATCATGACAATTCCATATATGGCAGAATATCAAGTTGGAACCCTGGGAGCCAATGCTCCTTGTTCTCTAAGATAATATTTTTCTCTCAGGTGTGTGTGTGTACTGCTGTGTATTTGGTGTCTGCATTAATGCCCTTTCTATTCATTCCACTTAAAAGAGAGCTTCATCTTAACTTTTAGCTAACCTCTATCCTCAGGGCACTGCTTTTTATGTCACCACCACAAGTTGTGACATATTGTTACTGTCCCTAACTTTTTTGTGGATGGTGTTTGGCATCCAGTAGGTGGCGTTTGGAGGTGTGTGTCTGTAACAAATGGCAGGTGGTGACAGTTTGCATGTTAATGCCTGGTATGTCTGTTGTCTGTTTCAAATACAGTTGAGGACGTGAATGTGAGATTTTGAATATAATTCCACTAAGGGTTTTCATTGACAGGTATCTCTGGGACCATCATATATGATGTGTATTTATTATAAGACCCTTGTGTATTTGAACATTAGCTGGAATATTGAAAAGAATCATTGTTTTATCAACCATAGGTTCTTCAAGTTGTCTTTTAACTGAAATCATCTGAAGGATAATAAATATAATATAAAATGCATCCTCCAAACACAGGCCTCTAGAACTTGTACCTCCCTCTTCTTGGAAGAAGGAAGGAACATAATGGATGATGTCTAGAGCCCTGCATTCGGAAGATGTATGAAATGCTAATCATCATATTATTATTGTACTTCTCATACACAGGGAGTTAATCACCCCTATATTCTGTAGCCTATATTAGAAGTTTTTTATATGATATAATAGAGAGAGACTTAACTCCCCGTTTTCTCATATTCAAATTTTGACAGTAATGACACTTTTACATTAACACATTTTACATGCATTTCTTGTTAACACATAAATTGGTATTTTATTGCACTTAAGTGCTATATGTTCTCACATCAATGTCATCTCACAGACAGGTTAAAATGGATGGCTCAAATATCAATATGCTGTGTTTTACAAAATTTATTTTTCTGTTATATCATAGGGATGAAGAGGGGAAAGTCAGGTTTTGTTATAAAAAAATATTCCATATCGATTGGAACAAACAGAATTTTTATATCAAATTTAATTATATAAGAACCAGTAAACCTGCCCTTAAAGTCTTTAAGCCCTGAGCACAATGGCGCTGCTCTTCAATTATGAATCTCAATAACTTATTTCAATAATCATAATTCTTTCTCTTGTTTTATGTGATTTTCATGTTCTTCTTTATTGTATAAAGCACTTTCTTTGATTATATTCATCCCATTGTTTTCATATATACCTCACATTATCTTAGAAACAAGAAGATAAAATGCTATATTATAATTCATTGTGTAATACTCTTGGGTAGGATCTGCTGAAATATAGGCTACACCGGATGCTACTCTTAAGTTTTCATGATAACAATAAACCAAAAGTACAAAATTTTGATTTTCACATTTATAAAAAAATTCTGTTCTGTTATTGGGCAGGTTTTACTCAAAATACACGATGTCACAAAAGTAATGATCATTTACTAGTATGCTCTAACAGATTATTTTAAAGGGAAACAATCTGAATGCATACCAGATAAATCTTTACCAATAATTTTTCTCAAAATTTTTATTTCATTTTCAGCGCTGGTATATTTTAGTTCAATTACCTTTACTCTTGCAACAATGGTGTATGTGGCAACCACCACTGTGATGTCATGGCGACAAGGCAACCCTGGCAGCGGCACCAATAGCAAGTACAAAACCAGCAGTATACTTGAGTATGTCATGGGGAACTACCTAGAACCAAAGAAGTGTAAAGTTCATTGGGAATGGGAGGAGCCCCAAACTGTTGGCAAAACTATGACATTCCAAATAAAGGTGGGTAAAATACAGATGCATTGACTTGAGTACTTCCCTGTAACACCCTCTATATCTCACCAGGGGTAAAATACAGATGAGTTGAATTGAGTTCTTCCCTGTAACTTTCTCTATATCTCACCAGGGGTAAAATACAGATGAGTTGACTTGAGTTCTTCCCTGTAACACCCTCTATATCTCACCAAGGGTAAAATACAGATGAATTGACCTGAGTTCTTCCCTGTAACTTTTCTATATCACTAGGAGTAAAATACAGATGAGTTGAATTGAGTTCTTCCCTGTAACACCCTCATATCTTATTTGGGGATGTATCACAAAAAACCTATCTTATGAATCTAAAATTCACAATATTATCATTATCATTTTCATGGTCAATGTACTCAGTACTTCAAAAACAAAAAGTACAGGAGAAGTCTTTTTAACAATTTGTACATTCATTCAGGCGTAAGTGATGTTATTCCTAAAGTTTGACCACATTCAAGCCGTAATTAGCTGTGATAAAAATGGATTGATTGCACGAACGAAAGGCTAATCTAATTTGTGTCAAGTGTCCGAGGTAATTTCCTGCTTTGAATGTCTCTGCTCGCAATTAGTAGGTTGCTTCAATGTCTTTTTGTTACAATGTTTTTCTGTAATTAAAAAGTGGTGACATATTGTTATAGTGTCCGTTTTTTATGGCGGATGGTGGTTGGAGGTTGGCAGTTCTTATAACTTCTAAATAGATCTGTTTAGACTGACTTCAATTTTTTTCAAAAGCATCTACAAGTTTTCAAAAGTTCAAATCTGATTAATTTAAGATTTGACCTTCAATGACCTTTTCAAGGTCAAAAAAGGTTAGAAAGGTCAAAAAGGTCTTTTTTCAACTTGCTTCAAATTGACCAAATATTTTTTCAAATCATCTACAAGTTATCAGAAGTTCAAATCTGACATTAGATTTGAGATTTGACCTTCAATGACCTTCTAAAGGTCAAGAAAAGGTCAAAATGTATTTTTTGAACTTGCTTCAAATTGATTTTTTTTCAAATCATCTACAAGTTATCAGAAGTTCAAATCTGACATTAGATTTGAGATTTGACCTTCAATGACCTTCTCAAGGTCAAGAAAAGGTCAAAATGTATTTTTTGAACTTGCTTCAAATTGACCAATCGATCTCCAAGTTCTCAGAAGTTCACATCTATCTATAGATTTGACTTTCAATGACATTCTCAAGGTCAAAAAAGATTTGACCTTCGATGACCTTCTCAAGGTCAAAAAGATATTTTTTCATCTTGCTTCAAATTGACCAATTCTTTTTTCAAAATCATTTCCAAGTTCTCAGAAGTTCACATCTGACTTTAGATTTGAGATTTCACCTTCAATGGCGTTCTCAGGGAAAAGTGTGTTTTTAAACTTGCTTTATTAAAGGTTATCCAATTAATTTTTTCAAAACCATCTACAAATTCTCAGAAATTCAAATCTGACTTAAGATTGAACTCATAATATTGTGAGCAACTAAGTGGTGACATTTTGTCATGTTAATGACTTGTTGATGATTTACATGTAAGTGCTAATCCAACGTAATGCCATGGAAACCGGGAAGGTTATAAAACACTGTGTTAAAACATATGTTGAACCTGATTTAAAACTGAAAATAATGTTATAACAAGTGGAATTAGGTAAACAGAAATGTAGTGAACACTCCATCTTGAAACAAAATACGATGAAATTATGGATATTTTATTTAAATGAAGAGTGAAATAGAGTGAAATACACATAACATAAATTTATAAGTAAATTATAAGCACAGGATATGTGATTAAGTCTGTGAAATGGATTCATGTTAACCTCAAAGATGCCTTCCTTCTTGAGTTATTGCATGAGTCTCATATCATAAACTCCATATAAGGTTATCGGGATTCTAGTTTCTTTTATCAGTGACAAACTAAACCTTAAGATTTGTTTAGAACATTTTTGGTCTATATACATTCAGAACATCTCCAAACAAATGGCTCATCAGTTTTTTCATTAGCGGTTGTTTTCTAACAAATTGTTTGTGTTTTATGACATTTTGCAACTATTTCCATTTTAGAGTTATAATTTCATATAATTTTGCCTGTTGATTTTATATGTTATATGTGATTGTTAGAAAACATAATGAATCCCCTGCTTGTCTAAAATTAAGAAAAGAAACAATGGAGTCATAGTTTTTATGTCATCACCTATAATGGTGACATATTGTTATAGTCTCCTACTTTTGATGTCACAACCAGAAGTGTTGACATATAGTTATAGTCTCTGACTTTTTTTTGGGATAGTGTTGGGAGTTGGTTGTCATTGTCTGCAACAAATGGCAAGTGGTGACATTTTGCATGTTAATGCCTTGTTTTTGATTGCAAAATGAGCAAGAAAGACTGCCTTAATGAGGGTGGTGATCATATGATATGGGTAGCTGAATATAACAGTATGTTGAACTTTGCGTGCCAGTTTCTTGTTTGGTTTTCTCATCTTATTCATTTAATGGCATTCTATCTCTTTTAGTTACCTGGAGCAAATCTATTTTGTCACCTTTGGCATTTAGATAATGTGAGAGGTATAATAGGAGGAGAATAGGTTTTCATGTGTTAAATGCATATTTTCGTTTTCCTTGAGGTGATATTTCTGATTTCGATATAAATATCGCTCTTTCTCGTGTAATAATGCCATATAAATTCTACTAAATACAATAGAGCAACGAGATAATGAGATTTGTTGTTTTCTTTCAAGGTTAATAGCTGTGTTTTTTCTCCAACTTTCCAATGATTGCCCCACCCTACATATCATATGGATTCACCCTCCTTTTACATTATCATTGTTATACATAGATTTTCTACCCTATTTAGCTTAGTATGAAATTGGCAGTAAGACCCTGATGAGACTATTTATCTCTGGGCAAAGTGGCAAGTGTTGATCAATTTTCTCCTAATATCCTGTGCTCATCTTCTCCAAGGTTATAAGAGAAATAACTCAGACTGCCACCTCTGATAATTATGTATGTCTGGGAAAATTAAATACAGACAGAAGTAATATGTCTTCTAAGATTGTCCATGGCTTTATCTTATTGCCCAAGGTTGTCATTGACTTTTCTCACAAGATTGTCCTTGACTTTATCTTATCTCCCAAGATTGTCCTTGACCTTATCTTTGAACTTGTCACTCTTTAATAGAATTTGAAAAATAGATTTTTGTCGAAATGTGATCAAACTATCCTTGATTTTCTCGCTATATATTTCTTGAATAAATGATGTTTCAAACCATTCTTGAGTATCTGATATCAAATTATTTGAGGATTTTTAATCATCAATTGTGCATGACTGTACTATCTGCCATATGGAAGCTCTACATATCCAAAACAACTGGGAACATTGATTGTCTCAATAACTGGTTGATTACCTTCAAAGTGAAAACAGCCCATCATAGACTAATAGACTATTAATCTAGTAAGAGTTTAGACAACTATTCCCAGTTGCATTGACTGAGGAGTAAATTATGCCTTAGTGAAGGAACTTCCTTTAACAGTTTTGAAGTAATATTTCTCCTATACTTGTTTGTGTAATATACTAGTATTGAAATTATAACAGGAGATATTACTGGAAAGTAATTGTCTCCTCAGTTTGAAACAACCAACATTCTATCCAGTTGCAAATTTAACAAGACATAACATGCAAAATGTCTCCACTGTCCATTTGTTATAGAGGTCAAACACCGAATGCCTAACACCAATCGCTGAATGCTGATTGCCCAACACAAAAGAGCTGGAGACATAAAACCTACATTGCATCTAGTTGAAAATATATTTGCACCTTTTAGGCAGTTTAAGAATTTATCGAAAACTACTAAACAATGTTAACTTATCTATTGTTCGTGTATTTGCAGTTCTTCCAGAAGAATGGAAGAGCCTATCCTATCTCAGATGCAGATAATCTCGTAGTTGAGATCATGAATATGAACAACCGCATGACAGCCTCCGTGCAACACGGGAGCAGCAAGTCTGCAGAGGCCAACACGTCGCACGTCATGTTTACTGTACATAAAAGTGGGGAGTATAAAATCTCAATCATGGTCGGGGCCACACATATAAAAGGCAGCCCATTTATAAAGGAGTTTGACCCTGGTAAGTGTTGATTCACTATAAATAAATAGCAGGGGGTGGGTGTCTTGTTTTGCAATTTAAAATTGAATTGAATTGAATGGAGCATCGGGTCTTGAGGATTAATAGAGAAGCTGCAGAATATGTGTAATAAATAAATGAAAAAAAATGAGAATTGTTAGATATATGTCACTGGTGACAAAATCAAAGAGATGAGATTATGGAATGATTGATTATTGAATAATGTCAACTAGTTATTGATCAACTCATATATATTCATCCAAAAGAAAATGTGAGAAAAATAATAAAAGGCCAAAGTGACATTTGAAATATGGGAAGATTTATAATTTATGGAAACTAAACATTTTCATGAATCACATCCCTTAGCAATTACTGAATAACCCTACTCTCATCAATCTTGTGATTTAATTATATTTATACTGAATGATCCTGAAAGATGAAGTCATATATTACAGATCTAAAATGACAGAATACCCCTAATCTCATGTATCTACCTATTTGATAAATGAATTCAGTATGCTATGAGTAAATGAAGTCATATAAAAAAGAAGAATTATTTTTTAGGTCCCATAGACGCGTCAAAGACTCGGATAGCCAATCACAGCTCAGTGATTGTATGTACCCAGGGACAAGATCGCCCTCTAGTGATAGAACCAAGAGACCAGTATGGCAATTTATGTAAATACGTCGTCGACTCTGCGGAGCACCACTTCAATGTCAGTATAACAGAAGTGAGTAGATGTCAATATAATTGAACTGAGTTAAGATGTTGCAAACAAGACAGATGTCAGCTTAAGTCAGCTAGACAAATGTCAGAAACTTTCATAAAGTTAAGAATTTCCAAAAAACTCTTCTTATTATGACATTAGTTCCATTGTTAAAATTGAAATAGGAATATTAATTTCATGAATTCTTCAGGTTATGTACCATAAATTCAATACCAGTCTGTAATTTCAGTCATGCGAAGGGAATAAATCTTTTAATATTGTTTTGCAATATTTGCCCCACATTATTGTATATCTTTCCAACTTATGTTTGAGGAAGATAATGGGAGTATTATGAGTGGCAGCTATAGGGGTACTCTGAATCACATGGTACATTAAGAGTATGGCACTGTGTGATACTGTATGAGTATGGTGCCATACAGAGTTCACAGTACTGTACAGTACCATACAATACCATAGCAAAAATGGTACTGTTAGAGATTGGCTGTATCCATGTGGATATATCCACGTTTAATTTCAAAATTTCAAACTACAGTAAAACCATTCATATCCACTGAAAGGTGAACACACTTGTGTCCTTGCAAAAGGTATTCAGCTTTGGGGATGTTCATTTTAGAGAGGTGGATTTAACATGTAGGCCAATAAAAGGAATAGAAATAGGACCTGTGAAAATGTTTTCATGCAAAGGTGTTATCTTTGTGTTCAAGTGGAAGGTTCTATTTTGTCGATATATTCCTCTGTAAACACCATACCATGGGCGTATCGCCCAGTACGCTGGGTACGCACTGGCGTACCAGATGATTGCAAATCCGCTCCAAATAGAACCAAATTAAAAAAAATTCATGGGGGAAACCCCCAGACCCCCCTGCATGCTCATTTTTGATTCACTCAACTCTTGTTCCTGTGGTGGTGGCGTACTACTTAGAAAAATAGCGCTACGCCCATGCATACCCTGTTAATATGGTATTGCAAAAAGGCACATATATGAATAACCTGATTGTACTACTTAATACTTACTTGAATTGTAATTTTAGCCAAACAGTGGGGCGACAACCTGTCATAATGGCCGACTAGTGTATGAGTCATCAACTAAGCACATTACAATGCAACTAAAGCTCTCAGATGAGGGATGCTACAAGGCAGTAGCTACATATAAAAATACTAAACTTCACAATGGAGAGTTCAGTATCTTAGTCTTAAATGGTAGGTAATATATTGACATTATTCCCATTACCCCACCTCTCCAAAGTATGGTACATGGTAGGGAGGCTAGACATTGCTATCATTTCCACTCTCTTGAAGTATGGTATAAAATGGTAGGTAGGCTCAACATTGCTATCATTACCACCCTTTCTAAGTATGGTACAACATGGTAGGTAGCCTCGCTATTGCTGTCATTCCCACTATCTCAAAAGTATGGTACATGTAATATGGTAGATGATACATAAATATTATCTCCTGTAGACCCATGCAGAATGGTATATGAACATTTGAATGACATATCAGCATATACATGTAAGAAATATGAACATTGTGAAAAAAGATGACACTTAAACGAAATTCAAGGATTTGTTCCAATAATATTCACAAAAATAAAACTAAATGAATATAAAACAGTGACATACAAACAGTTTATTATGTCTGCTATTAGATTCGTATAAACCCTAATTCCCCGTTGCCTTGCATCACTCTATATGCAAATTATCGGAGAAAATAGCGCAGACTGTTTGTTATTTTTGCAGTAATCAGTGTTATTGCTGTTTTAATGGGTAGATTAGAGTAATTACTCTCAGTTTCAACGCAAAGCACCATTAGTTTGAATGCCTGTAGAAAATAGAGGTCAGGTGATCTTTTTTCGGAGATTTTCCAAAATTGCATGAATTTGTATCATTTGTTTGATTTGATTATTTGTATTTCAGAAAATGATAGTAACCTAGTTAAGAAAAATACCGCCAAAAAAAGCCACAACATTTGGTACGAAGGCCGTCTGCTCAGCTCGAACAATGAAAAACTTTCAAAAGCAAAGAAAGTCTTCTGCTATATATCTCCAAAAGTAAGTGAACTTGAATGTTGGGGCTGGGGAGGGGGTTAGAAGTTGATTCCTTTCACATTGGATTATGGTTTGGGATAGTTGGGGTTTGTTTTTCTTATAACTGGTATATATACAAATATATGTTCTGATTTAATTTGATCAATTAAATTATGTTTCATATTATTGACACCAAAAAAGATGCAGAAGTATGGCCAAGTATAGTAAACCTGTGTTAGTACCGCCGAATAGTGTTTCACTTGGGAGATGTTCCACTTAAACAGGGGTTTATTTTACATTACACTAATGGGTAACTAACCTTTGAAAAGAGTTCCATTTTAATTTATGGAGGTATTTCACTCAGAGAAGTGTTCCACTGGTACAGGTTTTATTGTACATGGATACTCAATTGGTAATAAAGTATATTGTCCGTTCAAGTCAGCATTATAAAGTAAAATTATCTTCAGTATGTTTCCTGGTATTTATAAATTCTGGGTTTTATCTACAGTGAAAATAACACATGAAGCATTGTGTAATAAAACTTAAAACTGATCAAATATTTTGATTGAACTATTAATTAAAATCTGTTTTTATGTCACCACCACCAGAAGTGGTGACATGTTGTTATAGTCTCCCATTTTTGTGAACAGCATTCGGCATTCAGTGGGAAGTGATCGCCATCTGGCATTTGGCATCTGTAACAAATGGCAGGTTGTGACATTTTGAATGTTATCCCTTATATTACATAACTGTGTAAATCAAAGTTATGATTGTGGAAAACTTTTCACTGAATTCAAATATGCTATCAAAAAGAAGGAAAAGTCATCAGAGGTCTAATATGCAAATCTCTTAAAATCTGACAAAAATGAGAATTAGTGATATTTCCAAGCTATATAAACTCTTCTATTCAGAAGAAATGCTTCATAGACCAGTTTTTCCTCCTTGAGGGGTTAACATGGTCGCAAAGCAATTGAAATTATGAGTATGTTTAATATGAGAGAAAGCTGTGCTAAAGTACATTGGCCAGACACGTCACATATTATTAAGTTTTGCTAGGTTGAATTGTACTTTGGTTGAGGTGACCTGACATTGCCCATGATTATATATTCCAGCCCTGTGGCAAATGACCAAAGACCTGGATTCCAAGGTTCCCATGGTAACTGAAAGTGACATTTTAAGATACACCAGAGATGTGATATAATAAAATGTCAGAAAGAATATCCATTGTTTAATTCATATTCTTTTTATAAAACTCTTGAATACCCAGACTGACTAGAAACCTTGCGTAAACGTTTTCATCAAAATGGCTCTAACTTTGACGATAGTTATCCTATTGACATGCCATACATTTTAAAATGTGTGACATTTAGTCTTTACTAATACCAAACTGAACATCATATCTTGTAGTAAAATAGTAACATCACTGGCAAAATATGAAAAAATTTGTGAAAATGATGGAAAGGGGCAGAAAGTGTAAGAAACAATATTTTCAAATGAACATGTCATTGTGTCCCTTGCAATTCCAAATCTAATATGATATATGAAAAAAAGATTTGTGAGCAGTGTCTGGGGTCACATATTGGCAGAACTGTTCAAACTCATTAAAATGTTTCCCAAGTAACCTTAGAAACCAAAGCAATTGTATGAAACAAAACTCTAGGAATGACAAGAAATGCTGCGAGCAAAGAAAACATACAGTTTTACTCGCTACCCATGTCTATTCTACTTACCGCTCTTTATTTGTTTCAGCAACTCACCATCAAAGAATTTTATCTGAAGATCATCCCTAAACGACTATTCACATTCCGGGTTTGCCCTTCGACCAAAGTAAGACTTTATGTTAAACAGTTTGTTAGTTTGTTTGTTTGTTTGTTTGTTTGTTTGTTTGTTTTGTTTGTTTGTTTGTTCAATAATACCATGTTACTTTACCATAATATAGTAGCCACCTCACCTAATAGTAGCACATATACATATGTAATGTATCTAAGAGGATAATGGTCTACCTCACAAAATTGCTGATTGAGAGCAAAAAGCCCAAAAATGTAGGATTATTATGCAAGTGTTGAATTTTTCCATTTCACCTGATAACAAGTGAGGAAGTCCTTTTCTCATGATATTTATTAAGTAAAATAATTGCTCCTTTTCAATGCAAACCTTACTGTTGTAACCATGGGCCTTCTTTAGAAAGGAGAAAGGTATACAATGTCTCAAATTCCAAATACGGGCATTAAATAATTGTTTTTGGTTTTCAAAATTGGAGATACATGTATAATGATTAATGATGTATTCCAATAAGAAAGTAACATTCCATGTTTAGAATATCTAGAAGGCCAAAAATGTAAATAGTATTGATGAGTATATAATTGAGGCGGACACATTCATTTTTCAGTTCCTATTCAAAGGCTACAGCAACCACTACGACGCCCCTGTGCTAACTATAGATGATGGGGCTCAACCACCGCTAGAACTTGCCACTAAAGACAGAGGAATCATAGCTGCTACATTTACTAACTTTTTACTTAAAAATATAGGTATGTCTTAAGTCGGTGTTTATATGTTTGATCAAGGCACAAAATGCAAGTTCTGTACACAGTGGAAGGGCTAAGTTGTTTGCCTGACCCAAGTCAAAATAACAAAATCTCAGAAATATATTTAGTTAGGACACATTCAAAATTAATATAAATATGAGGGTTTCATTAATTCATACTAACTGAAAATGTGAGAAAATACCCAGAAAATAAGGTATTGAAAAGCAAATGTAGAATAGAAAAATCTGGGGCTTCCATTGATGTTGGACATGTACACTACACAAAAATACCCTGTCACATACTCCATTAATATCCCTACTACTTACAGCATATCAAATGCAATGTTTTAAGTACCACATGCAGTTGTAATATGAACAGCTGCATCTGATTAACTTTTTGTCTATTTGTCATAGGTGGGTCTGAGACATTCAAAGACAAGCAGGACTTTTTCTACCATGAGGTGAGACAGCTGCACCGAAGGAGAGACACCAAGTTATATGTACAAGTACAGAGAGCTAACATTTTAGAGTCTGTAAGTAGAACGTATATAGGTATATGTTTATAATATGTAGAATATAAGGTTCAAAAACACTGTACATGTGATTCCAGTTATTATAAGATCGTACTTCATTCGTTGTTATTTCAATGTATGTGTATATTGTAGTTTTTTAAGTTTCAGCTAGCTCAGTTTAAGCTGTACAGTGTATACATTTCATTATCAGTTCTTATAATTTGATTCCAGTCAATGAAGGCATCTAAGAATTGGAGCACATCAGATTGGTGCCGGAACTTTGAAGTGACTTTCCAGGGAGAAGCAGGTTTGCAATTTTCTCCAAATTATCAGTTTAATGATATAAATGAATATATAGTTTGGCATGGTGTAATTTTTATACAGTAAGTTTTGGCTTATATATGCATTAATCATTTTTCTGTATATGCCAGGTTTGGATTGGGGTGGTGTACGCCGTGAATGGTTTGAGCTGGTGTGTAGTGAACTATTTGACCCCAGCAGTTCAGGTCTATTTACCAGGTTCACAGAGGATAACCAAGGCCTGGTGAGTGTAATGAAACTAGTCTACTTTTGAGACTTTAACCTCCATTGGGGTATACAATACTATGGTTTAGTGGGAGTCCAAATGTATCTCCATAGTTAATTATCTGAATATTGTTATTGTACCACAGGGTCTGGTGGGACAAGGCTGGTATATATTGCATTATTTATAGACCCCTTGGATCTTATATGTTTTGGTTACCTCGTCATAAATCCTCCATTCATTCATTTTAATGTGTAAACACATTAAATTCACAGACATCTTGAATTCGTGTTGATTCACGTGAATGTAAATTGCAAGTATAGCACAAACTGAGACACTTGCAAAAGAATGTGGAAACATGAAAATGCAAAAAGAACCAAATGTATCTGTGAAAATTGTTCCCTTGAATTCAGTGTGTTTTACAGTAGTTGAATTTATTCCAGGTCCATCCAAACCACAAAAGAGTTAACTACTCAAAGTTGAAGTATTACGAATTTGCTGGTAAGGTAGTAGGGAAATGTCTGTATGAGTCATCACTTGGTGGTAGCTATAGGCAGAATGTCAAGGCAAAGTTCACACGCTCATTCCTGGCACAAATCATTGGACTGCGGGTCAGCTATAGGGTGAGTGCTAAATGAGCTAAATGCTATGGTAAAAGAAGGGTTCTCGCTTTCTACTTTTTGTGGAAAGGAATTTGCTTAGTACTATGTAGGCTTACTTTTCTGTGAAAAATGAATAAGAAAAAGAACAAATCACAAAAAATGAATAGGTGATGAATAAAAAATCACAAAATAGCAAAATTAATTTGCATTGTTTAGTATAATCATCCAAGGCTGAATATAAGATCATAAGAATAATATTTTGCCACAGTTTGCAACATTTCTGCAACAATGAAGTTAAATGTGCCATGGTTCAATGCCCTTATTGATGTATTATCACTCCTTTTATAACAAATCCTGGCTTTAAAACAGTCTCAGTTGAATGAATTCCTCACTTCATCAAATGCCACTTTGTAATCATGCTAACTGTGAACTCCCATTGCACATTTTTATTTCTCATTAACAACAGAGAGGTCATAAGTAACATGTAATCAAATCTGCACAGTTCGGTGGCTCAAATAGAAACATTAGTATCTTAGAGATTAACATTCAGGACATTTTCGCAGTGCCTATTTCCTAAGTTTTATTCATAATACATAAATCTTTTTCTTTGTAGTATTTTGAGCAGGATGATCCGTCTTTCTACATGAGCAAAATCAAATACATAGAAGAGAATGATATCACCGATATGGAACTACTTTTTACGGAGGATGAATATGACAATGCAGGGAAATTAGAACAGGTACTGCTTGTAAAAAGGAATTTTCTGAAAATGGATTGAAAATGGATATGAATAGTTTGATATAAAAATAAATTAAAAAGAATGTTTTCTCAATTAGGTTAAACTGTGTAGATTTTTCTAAAGTGCACACATTATGGCTATCGTGGAGTTCATTATTTTCATTTCTGTCTAATCTTTAAATGAATGACATGTTTAAGTTCAAATGACAGAATTTTAATTTTATGATTTCAGGTAATTGAATTAAAACCAGGAGGAGCAAAGACAAAGGTAACCAACAAGAACAAGCTGAAATATCTGGACAAGCTGGCGCAACATAGACTGGCTAACTGTATCAAGGATGAGATGGAAGCCTTCCTAAAGGGACTTAATGACCTCATTCCTGACAACCTGTTAGGCATCTTTGATGAAAATGAACTTGAGGTATGATTTGACAAAATGCAAACTCCAAAACATTTATTTACATTTTAGCATTGAATATGCAAATTGCATCATCAATGAATTTTAAAATTGTAACGCAAATGAATTATTTTGCCTATCTATTTTATTTTTATTTTATTCATAAAATGTGGCAAAATACATTCAAATAGTTTGACATGTATTTCAGTATTTAATGGTTATTTCACGAGAATTGCTCAATTGGGCTTTGAAAAATATTTTGGGGAAAAACATGCTGTATATCATAAATATTTTACTAATGTATTTTCCCATTGCAGTTGTTGATGTGTGGCACCGGTAGCTATAGTGTCGCTGACCTGAAACAGTTTCATACAGTAACCACCCACACACAAGAGTTCACACAGGTAACAACAATCACCATAAGACTATGACTGGTCAAAAATTGCCAAATTGTGGTCGTTAAAACCACTTAAGTCACAATATCATAAAATCAATTGATCAAACCTGAAGATTTTTTTTCCAATTTATTTCTGTACAACTACAAATATGAGATACAATTGTGTAACATCAGGATAAACATCATATCCTATGATATTTATCATAAATATGGGATAACATCTTTGTGTTTATTATATTTTTCTCAATACATCTTAATGAATCCAGATCATTTTGTTCAGATATCTATCATATCATTTCAAAGATATAATCCATATCCTATGATTCTTATCACATATATAAGATAACAGTTGTGTTTTTACTCTCTAGGTTTTAAAATGGTTCTGGACGATTGTGTCAGGATTTACGCAGGAAGAGATGGCCAGATTATTGCAGTTCACAACAGGATGTTCCCAGCTCCCTCCTGGGGGGTTTGCAGAGCTGAACCCCCACTTTACCATATCACCCTCACCAATGTATGGTGTTCTACCTACAGCACACACATGGTAAGTTCATGTCAGGCACATCATTGGAGATCAAAGCAATAATATGTATTTTGATATAATTGCTCAGGAGATATAGGTGTCTGTATTAGGATGATGTTGGCACACTTGATAGTTATATATTCAAGATGGAAAATTGTTTCAACGGAAGTTACAACCCCCTTTAGATATTTATAATTCTGTTTGGATACAACCCTTTAAAGATGATATTTTAGTATGATTAGAAAGATTTAGTAAAATTTATGATTTAGTAAGTTTAGAAGCTTAAAGGGGTATTCCTTGCCAGACCATCTCTCTCTTAATATGGTAGCTATAACCATATACATACTTTGCAAGTTTATCAAAAAACAGAAAATGTTTTGAAATGGTCAATATTGATCACGAAAAAAAGTAGTGCTCAATTCCAGTAGGCTGCCATCTTTTAAAATTTCACTCAGGAAGTGATGTCATCGACTCTCAACTTTGCATATAACATAGGTAAGGAGCTATTAGAATTACTAAACCAGCTGAATATTTTTTTCAATTTGGTCTATGATTAAAATCCTTTTGATGATCTCTTCTTTAGTTCTAAGTTGACAACTCCTGAAAATATTTTTACACGGAAGATAGGGGCTTCTTGTTTAGAAGTGATTTTGAACTTCTTTCCTATACTGTAATAGACAAGGTTATAACAGGAGAGAGTCGATGACATCACTTCCTGAAAGAAATCTGAAAAGATGGCAGCTTACTGGGAATGAGTACTACATTTTTAAATGATCAATATTGACCATATGAAAACATTTTCCCGTGTTTTGCTAAATATGTCAAGTATATATATGATTGTAGCTACCATATCAGGAGAGAAATAGTCTGACAAGGAATGTTCCTTTAAGACTTAAACTGTGATAGAAATAGTTTGGAAGACATAGGCGATCTTGCATCAATAGTTCAATTTTATAATCTACTGCAAATAAGAGATAACAGGTTACATTATGATAACATATATTTTCTATGTACTTTCAGTTTCAACCAGCTGTGTCTTCCAGACTATGACAGTATCGACCACTTTCACCAGTCTTTGGTGATAGCCATCAATGAGGGAAACACAGGCTTTGGCATGGTGTAACATGCTTTGGTATAGTGTAACACAGGCTTTGGCATAGTGTATCATGTGCTTTGGCATGGTGTAGCACATGTTTGCCATAGTGTAATAAATTCTTTGGCATAGTGTAACACATTTTTGGAATGGTGTAACACAGGCTAAAATAATCAAACAAGGAGAAGTCACAGAATGAGTGGTGTCGTAACGTTTCTTACACGGAGGGCTATCATATTTTTTTCACAAGCTGTCATAATTGTTATGATGTTCAATAGATCATTATGTGGAATGTAAGGACATGTGTGTATAGTGAAGACCTATTTTTCAAATGTGGACCATGTACTATGGTTTTGGATAGCAAGGAATGTGTTGAAGATTACAACTGTGGACTACATGACCTGTAATCGTTTTTTGGAATGTAGGACCAGAAAAGGAAATATATGTGTAGTGAAGACCTTTGTGACCAAGATGTGGATAACTACAATGATGGATTATACATACTTCACTTTTGGATTACATATACTGTACTTTGATTATGGAGTACATTTCATGTACTGCATTTGTGAATAACTTCAATTGTGGATTACATGTACTTTGTTGAGGATTACATGTACAGTATATCAAATGTGGATTACATGTACTGTGATCATGGATCATATGTACTTTGATCAAAGAATACATATATTTCAAATGTGGATTACATGTACTTTGGTGAGGATAACATATATTTCTATTGTGAACTACATATACTGTGGTTTTGGATTACATATACATTGTTGAGGATTACATGTATAACATATGTGGATTACATGTACTGTGATCATGGAGTTCATATGTGGACTACATGTACTGTACTGTGATTATGGATTATATGTACTTTGTTGAGGATTACATATGTTTCAGATGTGGATTATGTATGTGTACATGAGCTGCTATTGTGGTTGATTGTGGATTATATGAAATTTGGATTACATCTATCATGATATCTCTAGCATTTCAGGTTAAGGCCAGGGTGCATGTTCAGAATTTTCCTGCATTCCTCAATTGAGTCAATTGTTATTTTTCAAACAGGAATCACTACTTCCACACTTTGTCTACATCTTCCAGTTTTGCACAAAGAGTGCACTTATGTACCTAGAAAAGACTGGTGAGAAGATTTGTTTTGTAAAATGTATAAAAAACGAGAAAATCCAGTGAAAAAATTCTGAAAATTTTCAGAAATTTTTTTCACTGAATTTTCTTGTTTTTTATACATTTCATCAAAACATTCTTCTTTGCATTCTTTTCTAGGTACATTAGTGCACTCATTGTGCATAAGTGAGAGGTGTAGACACTGTGGGGAAGGAATGATTCAAATTTGAAAATAACATGTGACTCAATTGGGGAATGCAAAACAAAAAAAGTCTGAACATGCACCCTGACCTTAAATTATAAAGTGAAAGCATCACTCTGGTCCACATGATATGGATTATTCAATTGTATGAATATCTATATACAGTAAAACCTGTCTAAGTAGAACACCTTTGGTAGCTCTAAAGTGTTCCGCTTTGGAGGTGTTCCACTTATAGAGGTTCATTTATATTTTTAATATATCTGAAAAGTTTTCCAGTAACAGAGGTGTTCCATTTCTCGAGATGTTCCACTTTACAGGTTTCACTGTAGTACTTTTACATACCACAAATGAAGTTCAAGTCTGTTACACTATTAGGCATCAGTGAACATATGCCAATCTATAATATTGTCTATTGCAATACATATCGACATATGTAAAAGAAGTAAATTGCATGGTATGTTACAGCCACTTCATTGCAGCCAAGATTTTTTAAAGTTTTCTCACTATGATTTCACAAAGTTTATTAATTTTCTATACAATTAGTTGTTCATGAAAATTTCTTTTTACTATATTTACTGTATTTCTTTTTGCTATGTTTTATATGTTGTTTTTGTTATTATTAGTATGATAGATATGTTTTATACATAAGCAATGTGCTCCTATTATGCTAGTCTTTCACACAGCCAAGCAGACATTTGCAAGAAAATATTGGCAGTTTGGCAATTGGGCCCACATAAGAAGGCATTTGGCCCCATCTTTTATTGAATCCCAGCTATTTGGTAAAGGACGATTAGATTTGAGGCTAGGGTGAATGAATACAATATTTAAAGCATATAGTCCCTCATGTAATTTCAAACCATATTATGATTAAAAGAACCCTGGGTCATATATGAGAAACCTTGATTTGAATATCTCATATATTTTTAAATATGAAAGACCATCTTTTTTACAAGAAGTGGATTAATGATGAAGAAACAGTTTGGTCACCCTAGCTTTTATTTTGGAAGTTGTATTTTATTTACATTTTCTTATTAACCATGACATACTTCAATGGGCATTTTGTGATTATTTGCTAAGACCTATTGCCTATTACAGCAAGGAACTAACCATATACACTGACCTCTCTAAATATAAAAGGTAAACTGGCCTATGTTGTATACCTCCATTTTGATTGAAGATATGACTTTACACAGAGGTTAACAGTGAATCAAGTTTTCCATAGGGGTATACAATTTTTGTTGTTTACTAGTGACTGTAGGTCAACAATTGATTTCAAATTGCCTAACCAAAGTGTAGAGTTTAGTCACTGTAAGAAAGCATTCAGCATTTAAAATGCATAAGTAGAGCTTTTAGATTTATTTTCCTCGAATGTTAGCTAAATTCCGTCACCATTTTGATATTTGATTTAACTAAGGACTTGTAATACAATATTATTTGAATAATCTTAGGCATCATTTCTGATGTATAGTCAGTAGGGTTGAGAATACCATTTTATTGTTAATTGAGCACTTTTGTCAAATTGAACATTGAATCTCTGAGTCAGTTTAGGCGTGCTATCCAAATGTCATCAGTTGGGAATGATGTGTTTGATTTTGTTAAAGGGGAGGGGGAAATGACAGTTTTATGTAAATGACAGTTTCACCACAACTAATCTTTGGATACCACCCCTTAAAATAATCATGTGATTTTTTTTACATATTTTACACATTACGCATGTAAGTCAAGATCCATAAATATCACAGTTTTATTTATTTATTCAATTAATTAGATTTTGTACATGTAATTTGATAAATAGTGATCATTGATGTTGTAATCAATACATATATTTTGGGCATTGCATTCTCCATTTGCAGGATTCACCACTAAAGCAAATGGAGAGAAGCATAAGAGAGTTCTCCAAGCCTGCATTTTGGGGAATGTTGTTCTTTATATATTTATGTGCAATATATTTAATGTTAAAATGTAAAAATTAATGTTTTTGAAGATAAAATCATCTTAAAAATACAATAACTGAGTTGTTCAATATTTCCCCAAAATATGGTAATAAATAAATGGTGGGAAAGTATAGAGACAATATAGAGTATAGGGGAAACAATGCAATGCATTGACTGCAAGCTAAGAAGCGATGATTGACTTTGTACCCCGCTTTGTGGTTCGTTCCATAAATTATTGGAGTATATGTGGCCATCCCCCCTCCCCTTTTATGAAGATTCTCGAAATTTGGTGACCCTAATAACAGGTTGAATGCCTAATATGCTGTATATAAGTTATTTTATAGATGTCATACGTTTAATTCATCCAATATAAAAACAGTGTCTGTAAAATATTTTACATACAAGTTTCCCCATTTTATAAGACCTATGAACCCATTCCACAATCTGAACATGTTCATTATATATTCAAAAAATGAAGTAAATAAAAATTGATTGTTGTATCAAATAGCAAAAGCCTTTTCTGGGTCGCCGCGAATGGCATGATTTCCTCGAGTCTCTTCAGTTGCAGGGCAACCATACTCAGGGACCGATTCGTGTCGTTCCACTACTGCCCTTGGTGGGGGCTCGCTACCATACTGTATGACTCCCGGTGTCTCCCATAGCCCGTCAGTGGAGGAACCAACCACAGTCTCACAATCTGTCTCCGACGAGAGCAGTCAAAGAACCAACCCAAGCCAAGGGCCGGTATACGGTTGGACCTTCGGACCGAGTGTCCTGTAGGACTATGATCTAACGCCGTACCTGGGGCTCGAACGCGGGACCTCCGTATCCCCCACGGTACGCTCGACCACAAAGTACCACTTTGCCTAGGTGTCAAAACTGCTCAAAAATGTTAAAGTTGTTATGATCATTGTGATAGTTTGCTTGGATGAACACGAGTATGTTTAACTAATCCTATTTACTGAATCACTTGTATTTTCTATTCGAATGACTAATTATTAACAGCGGCAATCACAAAACGTGTAATTGGCTCCTTCGTCTAAACGTACGTCTTCTATTCCGAGGAATCGAAGACGGAGAAACGATTCCATTAAATAAAGAAGTTATGTTTCCGACTCAAATTCTAAAAACTGGTCATAATGGCATTTAAAAAGTGATTCGACAATGCTTACAATTTTGCCTTTTGCCACTGAATGGTCGAGATACAGCGACTGATTGCGAAATTAAAATGGAAAAATCTAAGCCCACTGCATCTTATAATTGTTTGTTTGAGCATAACATGTTGAAAATGCCCTCATGACTAAGCCTTTTCTACTCAAAGATGACTCGATAGTTAGAGTGAAAAACGTATGTTTTAACTAAAAAATATCCAATGCTTTATTTCTTGTTTGTTTCACTTTCACTTTGCTAAAATGTTATCAAATACGACAATAAAGGCACATATTATGTGCTTCACAATTCTAAATATTGTTAAAATGCACGGGACCAGGAATGTTTTGTTATTCCAAAATTAGAAGATCCCTTTGGCTTCAACTCAAAAAGTTCAAATAAGAAATGAGAAGTAACAGATAGTTTGGTCCCGCAGGGATTATTATCCCACCGTTTCCTTTTATCAGAGGTAAGTTACACGCATTTGGAAGAACTTGGACGTAAACGTGAAATCACGTTAAAACGGTGTTATGGCAACTTATTCCCTCGCAGCGTTGAACGTCAAACTCAGACGGACAAATAAAGGCCAGTGAGTGGATCATAATTTTACACGTTTCGCGTACACGTTCTTTAAAACAGTCCCTATTGCGCATTATTGCTATAGATATTAACTAACAATTGACTGTTAATGAATAGACATTAACACTATCTTATCACATATTGTTTTATAACATGATACCCCGATAGCAGTTAATACATGAGCGAGAATCGAGATATTAGACTGTTGGTTTTGCATTTGGTATATTTGTATTCTGGTGATCATTCATTCAAACCATGGAAATAGAACGACCAAGACGTCATGAATAATTGAAATCTGCTAATTACTTAATTGACAACTAAATGAACGCTCGTTTGTTCTGATATGTGATGTAATAGTCTTGGGATATAAGGTCACCCTCCAGAAAGGCGAACGTCATCATCTTTGATACCATGAGCGAGACCATGAGGCACTGACTACTGACGATAGTACTATATTTCAAAGAAGTAAATTCAAACTATTAAAAGGGTAAGACACAAGATTATCTTCCCAATGAACTACTAGGTACCGTGTATAGAAAAGGTTGGGATAATTTAAACACTGGGGTAGATCAAAATGACTATCTTCTAGACCTAGATAAAGATGGTAATGTCAATGCCGCAGAAGCCCAACGAATAAAGAAGAACGTCCAAAGAGATGCTCGTGTAATAAATTGGGCACTTGACTCTTATCTGAACAGTTAAACCAACTGCTCGCATGAGACAAATGCAATGCCCCATCATGTGGACCAGATTATGTTCAACATAAATGTAACACAAGTCATTTAGTCAATGAACGAAGAAATCAAAACGGTGAAATTTTCACAAAAAAGAGTATTTTGTTATTCCTCTAAACATGATCATATTGTTTAAAAATCCTCATTCTTTTTTTAAACATTTTAGATTTTGACTTATTCCTCGTTGAACTCGATTAATTTTGACGACTTTGAATTGAAGTAGGCTATATATTAATGCTGTGGGAGAGATTAAACTGAGAGTTGGTCCATATATTATATCATCATCTGCCATTATTTATAGATTGGTGTGAAACTCATAATCCAGATTTTTGCATAATATAATTCAAGTCATATACAAAGACTTGCCGAGAATTAGGTGAAGTATCTCGATAAGAACTGAGTGAAAGAAACAATAAATGGAACGCCAACAATAAAAACGTGAAAATCGGTTTAAATTAAATTAAATCAAAAGCTATTCTTACATTTGATTATATTGGATTTAACGGATGTAAGAATAAAAGTTGATGTCGCCATTGTATTTGATCACAAATTTTTGGCAATAAAGGTAAATGAAAACATTTCAAGATTAGCGTCCACAATAATAAGTGAATGCCAAGATTACAGTGAGAAATGACCTGTGAATGTACATTGTTGTAAGCCTGGTCTTGGCGAGTCGGGCAAAGAGCAACCAAAACAACATACATTGTATTGGTACACATGATTTAAACATGCATCAGGGAGTTTGTTAAGATGGATTTCCGACTGGTTTATATTTCAGAGAATCTCTAACAGAAAAAATATATACCATATGCCTACGGATTAAAATAAAACTGAATTATCATCAGGATGGTGTTCTTAAGGATATAATAGCTGTTAAAACATGTCACGGCTAAATAGTGCTTGAAGAATATATAAACAGGACGCGTCAAAGACCAACTTGTCGGTATTAATAAGACGTTGTCGCATGTCCACACGATCATGGATGATTCGTCATCCATGCACGATGATGTGCCTCTACCTTCACCCCCAGGGGCCACGACGTCCAGTGTCCCTCCCTCAGGACGAGATCTCTATCCCCCAGGAGTAAGAGTGGTAAGAGTTCTGACTTACACATGTTAGCATTCAAACATGGCGATGGTTGAAATATAGGATAGACTCAATTATGTTTTCAATTTGCCGGGCGAAGCGAGCCCTAATTGAACTATTCTGGCCTGATTGTTTTCCCGATTTTGGACTGCTGTATGAGATCACAATGGTGCCTTATTGACGCATTTCTTTTGTTTTACGTTTCGAACAATTAATAATTTATACACAACTTCGGATGACATTCTAGTTTTTTCTGCAACCGATTTGGTATAAGCTAGGAGCATTTATCTGTAAGTATAAGCTTTATTTTAGTTTGGTTACAATATCGTAAACCCTGCTCAGCTTCAATATATTCTTTCTTTTATTTTAGATTAGCCCACTATCCAATACTTCGGACAAAATTTACTTATCACAAGATTTTCTCAATTTGGATAAGGAAAGGGAAACGAACTTTAGGAAGATGGAGGAACAAGAGCCGCTGACAGATGATGCCAAAGTTGCAGCAGAAGAGACGCCCGATACATTTCATTTGACCTCAAAGATAACCTTATCGACGGGACAACCGAGTTTTCAGGCCATTCTAGATGAAGTGGATGCCGAACTTGCATCTCTAGATGAACATGAGCAGTATGCCAAATACTTTTCTCTTCAGCATGTTCAGTGTTACCGTGGTTATTGATTATATAAATGACGCAATTGCTAATTCGCAATCAACTAACAAGTATAGTATCAGTTTCAACAACCATCTCCATATCTCATTTCAGTTTAATTAATATTAATTTTTTCAGTGACAAAAAGAAACTGGAGCCAAAAACCTATGACTTATCGGATCTCGAAAATAACAGCGAGTGGGACACTGACCTAGAAGATGAAGGTATTGAACCATGTATATAAAATTCCTAATGTCTCTTGAATAACGACCAATAATCGTTATACGTTATGTTGCTCAATTTTATGTTTTTATCATTGTCCCACGATGGAGAGTTCTCTCTCGTCTTTGGGAAACTAATGATCTTGCTATGTGTATCTCCATTGGCCACTCTACCATATTTGTCTTTCAGATGAGCGCGTTGAGTATGACGTGACTGGAAAGACGCTCTACATGGAGACGTGTAAAGAGTTGGGAGTGGTCCCGGTGTCGTACTTTCTCCGGCACATGAATGGAGAAGACATCAAGATGAAGCACCATGGACTAGGACCACTGGGAGCAAAGGCATTGGCCGTACCTCTTGTGGTAACATTTAATTTGTTAACAATTGTAAAAACATTAAATTGATTGTACATGTCAGTAGTTGGTAATTTAATGGTTCTGGTACAAATAATTTTCTCACGGCTTGTTACTTCGTATCTAACTTATACACAAATCTTCACTCGTTATTTCAAACAAACACTTACATTTTCTCCTCAACAATTACTAGTATGCCAAACAAACATAAGATTTCTCTTCGTACGAACACAAGTTTCTCTCCGTGTAAATATCCATCTACACATTGTTTCAGACAAACACAAACGTTCTTACACTAGATCTTGAGGATAACGGTTTGGAGGGCGATGGTGGTGTCTATATAGCAGACATGTTGAAGGAGAATTGTTATATAACAGAATTGGTGAGTAAAACAATACGTCCAGCAATTAATAATTTACAGTTTATAATATGAGTATACGAAACCTGACAAAGGGATGATGATGAATAGATGATACTGTACTTGTGACAAAGGATTCATATCGTTAAAAGTACGTTACGTGTACATTAGAGTACAAAGTTCTAATCCAGTGATATTGTATCGTTTCATTATATTGTCAAATTAGAATATCACATGGTGGAGCTGCCGGGTATAATAAATGAAACAATAGAATATTACAATTCTGTGAAAATATTTGTCATACTCAATTAGTCCTAAAGCTGCCTGTACAATTTGGGGTAACACAATTATCGTATCTGGTTGGTATCGACTTGAACATGAAATACTATGGCTTACTCTACTTGATTCCTTAAATCTAAATTATATTTCACGATTTGTTGAGCTATTTGTATTAAGCATCTTTAATATGTTGAGGCTTATGTTGAGATGTGACAGCACTCCCAATTCCGTGATATTGTCTAATATAATTTATTCAGACCCTGTCCTACAATAAACTTGGAAGTCTGGGAGGATGTGCAATGTGTGAGATGCTGCTGCAAAATATAACCGTCACAAAAATGTCTCTGGCAGGTAATGTAGACTTCTTTTGACTGAAATACTGTATAATTAATGGCAAAATATCTGGCATTCATGTTGAGAAGAATTGAGTAGTGTTAAAGTTAACTCCGCCATCTGGCATCCTCCAAACACAGGCCTCTAGAACTCATACATCCTTCTTCTTGAAGGACAGAATGAACGTAATGGATGTCTGGAGCCTTGGGTTCGGAGGATGGCCGTTTGTTTGATCGCGTGCTCCGATTGGACTCTCATTCAAGAGACAACGAGGCTTGGATATTGAGTCCTGGAAGTGGCCACTGATCCAAAACATGCCAGTCTAAATTATTAGAATCTTTTTTTGAAAAATCAAGTCCATATTTGAAGAATAATAATCAAAGAATACAAATTATGTCACAGCCTGGTTGATTTTACTTCCAGGGAATGAATTTACAGACAAAGACGCAGACTATTTCGCTAAAGCAATTCTTGAGAACCAAACTCTAAGAGAGTTTGACTTGAGTCACAACCAGTTCAGTGAAGATGGTGGCTTAGTTTTGTCTTATGCAATAGGTAAGTCATACAATGGGGTAGTTAAGCTACACACTGGAGAGGTTAGCTCCCGGGGGTTAGCTACACGTTTTTAATAAATATAAGTGGAATACTTTTAGTGTCAACAGACTTTTACATAATGTGAGATGTTTTCTAGGTGAGAATGAGACCTTGGAATCTTTGGATCTCAGTTGGAACCACCTGAGGGGAAACGGTGCTATAGCGATATGTGATGGTGTCAAGGTAGGTCTCAACGTTGCTATAGCGATATGTGCTGGTCTCAAAGTTAGATACATCTTTACTAAAATAATGCTGGTCCTTTCCGGGCCCCTTTCTGTGCAACACTTTTCTGATCTTTCCTCAAAAGTGCTCACTTGAAGAAATGATAACTGACATTTACTATCTCTATAGAGCACTAAAAAAATTTCAAGAGACAATTAAGCAGAAATACACATTCTGAAAATGCTCCCATTTTCCCATTTCCCTTACAGAACAATGCCAGGCTTAAACACTTCAATATTGCCTGGAATGGTCTGGGGAATACAGGTGCACTAGCTGTTGCAGAGATTTTGAAGTTCAACAGGACCCTAACTACCTTGGACATTACATCCAACCGGATAACCACTGAGGGGGCTATAATTCTGGCTAAAGGAATAGATCCAAATGAAACACTAAAAACATTCAAGGTAGGCATTTGACATAAGTGTCAATTGATGGCTATTTTTTAAAATTTCAAAAATTCATAAAAACATAGATTTAGGACAAAACCTAGTATGCCCCCCCCCCCCTGTATGCCCAAAATCCACCAGTGCCATTACATTCAGTGTATGTGAACATGTGTAATAAATGTATCAATTTTTCTTCATTCTCTTCAGATGGGCCTCAACCCAATTGGTACAATGGGTGCTCTGTTGATGCTCAATGGTATCAACAATGACAGGAGTATTATGGATACCCTAGACATATCAGTAAGTGTCATAATTCACATTATCTTTATAAAAGACATTGAGATGCAAAATGTCCACACCTGCCTTTTGTTACAGATGCCAAATGCTGATCTCTGAACATTAACCACCACACAAAAAATTGGAGACAATAACTAGTGGTGTCAATTTACAGCAAAAATCATTGGTCGATTAACTGAGGATTTCTTGGTAAAATTTCTTACTCGAGTAAGCTACTATCGGCGGTTAACCATTAACCGGTTAACCATCGACAGCCCTAACAATAACAATATGTTACCACTTGTGGCGGTGACATATAAACTGTAAGAATATGGGTGTAGCTCTAATTATTGCATTCTTTTACCTATTTAGAGAAAATATGGTGCATATCTTTAAGCCTACCCAAATAAATCTATACTACTCCACTATTTGGTAATTTCAGAATATTCTGATTGACAAAGAGTTTAAAAAGATCCACGATGAAATGATTGAGAATGGGCGTAACTTGGTTGTTATCCATGGAGGACTCATTGGGAACTATGTCATTAAAGGGACACCAAAGATAAATGGTAAGAAATGTTTGATGAAATTCATTGTACATATCAGAAGAATTGAGCTGTACAAGACGTTTCCTTTATTTCTTAGATGTTTTAAATGCAGTTATAGGGTATCAACTATCAAGGAATGTGTTAAAAAGCATAAAAATATGGTTTTATAGACAGTACAGGGTATCCATGAATTTTGTCATAAAATGCATGTTTTCTTTACAATAACAGGGTGTGCAGGAAACAAAAAGTAGCCCAGGCAGGGTTCTAAAAACCAAAGAGAATTAATTATAAAATATATAATTTCAGTGGAACTAGGAAGTATGGAAGACTTACATAGACTTGTCACAAAGAAAAGCAGCGCATTAGATGATTTCCTCAAAAATGACCCAATGGCAATCCTCAAAGCTTATGTGGAGAAAAGACAGTTACGCCTGGTGGATTTCTTCAATCAATTTGACAAGGATAAAAATTTTAAAATTTCCATGGATGAATTTAAAAGAGGAATTGTGGTAAGTCATCAATTATATTGTGGTAGGTTATTAATTTCATTTTGTTCTTCATAAAATAATGTAATAAAAATAATTCAAATCTGACCTGCTGACTGCCTTAACATTCCTCATTTTTATATTCTAACCAGCTGGGTACCTTAAAGTTCATAAAACCATTTTTTATTTATTCAGATGGCAAATATTGGTTTGACAGCTGAACAGGTAGAAACCTTACTACACAGGTTGGATAGTAGTGGGGTCAGTGACAAGGATGGCATGATAGATTACAGGTAGATAGATTAACAGATTAACTGGAAATTAATTTTTCAAATATGTGATATCAAGAAAATATACATTAAGATGAAAATTCGTCAAATCATCACTTTTATGCATAACTACCTTAAGTACAACTTTGTGTACATTATTATTTAGATATCACCTAAAGATATGACGTAATCGTCAAGAATACAAATATTTTTCATTTTCATTTTAGCTGCTTGGTGGACACAAATACAAAAGATTAGAGACAATTATAGCATGAAAATATATAAACTTTGATATTGTACTAGCATTTGAATGAAAATATCACAGATTAATCACCATTTTGTTTTTATTTTCTTGTTCTATTTCTTTTTCTTGCTCGTCACTCCTTTCTTGACTTTTCTCTCGAATTCAATGTTGCTTCTTTAAATCTGAAACTCTGATCTTGAATTCTCTCTCTTCTATTATTTCTGAAAATCATTTCCATTGGAAACACCATTCTTTTCCAATATCTTTCAATATCAACATTGATGCAATTCTGCCTATCAAATACACCCTTACTTTGGCTGTTCCTCTCCCCTCCCTCTGCTAACAACTCACAGGGAACTGGTGTCTGGAACCGTGCAAATGACGTTGGAAAAGCGACGCTTGATGCAAGAAGAAATGGATGCTAGAAATCCATCAATTATCGCGGAAAAACTGGAGGTGCTAGAAGCCATGCAAACAGAACGATCAAAAAGTCCTTTCGGGAATATCACCCTAAAGGAACCAGATTTCCATACTTCACTTAATATTGATAGAGCAAAAAGTCCAATACCAGACCTTCCAGATCTAAATACTCTCAGACCTAAAAGTGCCCGTAACTCAGGGTGTAACACACCAGTGAACTATTTAGGAGTCAATGAACTGTTACCTCGAGAAATGAATCATCTGGCACTTGGGAGGAGTCCGGGGCATAGTCGGGCAGGTAGCAGAGTAGTTAGTAGAGTAGGCAGTCCTGAATCAGTAATCTCAACAGGTGGTGCCGCTTCACCAATAGGTGGCACTACCTCACCAATAGGTGGCACTACCTCACCACATTCAAATAATTTTCTAACAGTTAATATAACCCCTGTTTCACATACTACTGATATAAAATTCTCAAATTAATTGAGGTTTATCTAGAACCTGAATCACACTGTTTTCAGTATATCTATTTGTAAAGAGGTGGTTGATAGTTTGGCTTGACATGTTTCAGCCATTCATTTATATTGAGTTCTAATGATTGATAGCTGAAGGGGCAGAAGAATTAATTAGCCAGATTTTCTTGAGACAGGGCACTAGATCGATAGACTATGATCATCATCTTGATTATTGTCTGAGACTAACATAACATAGTTGTATTAATTACTTTAAACTTAGTGGTCTACATGCGCAGTTAAAGAATGACATGGCCAAAAGGATGGAATTCAAATTCATCTCTTATATAAATTGCTAGTCAGTTAAACTCAATTCTAAGCAAAGGTAGCTTATTTTAGTTATAATACTTGTCTTCGTTTGCAAAAATTCTCATCAGTTAGTTTTCCAATATAACGCGTCGTCGTGATGTTTTAATCGATGTATACTCCTTACATCTTTCATTATCTTGATGTGAAGTAACAAGCTATGATATTGGTTAACGCGCCAGGAATTAACATAATATTATTCAAAGCATTATTAGAAAATTTTGAATGCGTAATTTTTGTTTATCGATTTGGACCAATCAGAGGTGCATGTCATCTCAATACAGGTTTACATTATAAGCGTACGTCATCTTTGAACTCTGGGGTTAATCCCCCCCTGGTGCAGATGTGAAGTAACTTATTTTTATATACACATGTACAATATCAACTAGTTTGGTGGGAGGGGTTGTTAATGTAAGATAAAAAAAACATCCATGTAGTCATACTGTTTTATTTTATAATTTATTGTTGTATATCTGAGTAAATATATAATAGACTATAAAATCAGGTTCTTTGGATTAATAAATACATATTACTAAAAGATATCCCAGAGATATTTGAATTGACTAAAATTGATTAACATCAAGATGCAGTTATAGATGGCTGTCTGCGTAATAACCCTGCAAGCAGCAACCAAATATATGAACTTTTTACCCTCATCGCAACCTCATACAGAGTCAGAGAAAACAGACTCCATTGTCCTTTCACTCGAATCCCAAACCTCGAAGTAAAATTATCGGCATTTTCAAGTTTGTGCTGGGTGAGTGCACGTACGCAACAACGAGACATCCCAATAAATGAACTAGCGTCAGCACGTGATTCAAGAGCGTATTCTATTCCACGGAGTAAATCATTCGTTTTTAAAATGAGTAAAAGTTGCCGTGGTACATTGTTCAATATTCCTGTTATCTCAGAAAGGTAGTTTCCTGCATTTTCCTGGATTTCTTGGTCCTGGAATGAAATCAAAATAGTGTGTCAAGTGGGCATTCTTTAAATTTAAGGTAGAGAGGTAAAGGCCAATATAATGTAAAACGCATCCAATTTCTCCACATCTTACTTTTAAGTGAAAGATGGTACCATGTAAAGCAATAATCAGACCTTGAGAAAGACAGAACTGTGCAATTGATCTAGCAATGTTCAATATATTGTTCCTTTTCAATATATACTATGCTATACTATAGTACCCATGGGCTTTAGCCAAAATACCTCACCAATTTAAATGGCTCCCCTATTTTTAGATCCTGGCTACTGCCCTAGTATCTCTCACAATTTGAAACAAATGCACACATAAATGTTAAATCTAAAATCTCTGGAATAAGGATATAACCTGTTAAATTATTTGGAGATTGGTTTTGTTGATATGTTTGAAAGAAGCAAAATGGTCCCTGAATTTCTTATTATCTCGATGATCCCATGACTAAAAACTAACCTCAGAAGCAGTGGCAGGAGCCTTGTCTATCCCCTTGGTGACAGAGTCCCATGATCTGGCTGTGATTATACATGCAAACAAGGGATACATCTCTCCACAGCCCATCCTCTCAGCATTTAACTTTATTGCCTCCGTATCAGCTTTTATTAAAGACATCCATAACTCACAGTAGTCAAGGCGGAATTTATCGGAGAGTGACTGAAGTAATATATAAAGATTAAAAGAATCATAATTTGGTATGGTAAGTTGGTTCTATTCAGCATTTCAGTCTTATTTGATCAACTTCACATTACATTTTTACATTTTAGCTCATATATAAAGGTAAAACCTCCCTGTGTCATCCAAGAGAAACTTGGCCATGTAACTTCCTAGCAAGCCTTCCAATATCCATATTCTATTGATTAGTCAATCCGCCATATTAATAGCAGGTAAAATTCCAAAATCTGCCCAATCCGCCAAATGTAATAATGACTTTAAGCAATTTACAGTATGCAAAATATGTAAACTCTCACCTGATACAGTCCATGGTCTAAGAGGACAATTTCTGTGTCCCCACTGCTGGTTTTGTTGACTAGTACATTACCAGGGTGTGGGTCACAATGGACATATCCCTCCACAAATATCATCTCACTGTACAGCTTACCAAGACACCTGGTAACCTACAGGGACATTAGAGATTAGTACATGGTGTTGTTGTCATGTTTATATGGAGAAGTAGAGTGGAGAAATTAGAGAAGTGCTGAGTTCAAATACTTTAACTGATATAAAATGCAACGGAAACAAAATCAGTCACTTTGTACTTTTGAGATAAATACATGGTAATGTCAGAATGTATATCGTTAAACTACACAGAAAAGGGCAACTCCATGGACTTGCAAAATCACATATTTGGTGAAATCACATACAATATCGCATCTAATTTATTACAACTACAGTTCAGTGTATGGCAAAAAATAGTTAAAATCTAGTCACTATTTTCAACATTATTAGACTTTCAGTTTCAATAATTTTCTCATTGCAGTTCTGAAATTTGTCAACCTGATGGCATAAACTATTGGATTCATCCCAGAGTTAATGGTCGCAAGCAGGTAAGCAGTAAACAATCCAGTGTTCACCGTGGGCTCATTGCTGTCGATTAAATCTAATTGAATGAGTGTGACATAACAAATAAAAGGTGTCCAACACACTACAAACAGACCAATCACAATCAGGGCAGTTTTTACGAGTTTCAAATTTGAGTTTGACGAGGCCACTCCATTTGTTGTTTGAACTTTGTTCTGTTGGGATTTTGCCCTCATGAATATGCAACTGTAGATCACAATATGTGGGATTAAGACTATAATGTAAAATAAGGGATAAGTCATCCCCATAAACCGCGGCAGTCCCGTATTAGACACGCAAACTAAAATTGCCTGTTCCAAGTTACTCTCATATAGAAAGTAATTGTCCATTAAAATTATGAGAAAATAAATCACGCTGAATGTCCACACCATACATGATGTCATTATAGCTCTTTTATGCGTCATAATCGCTTCATATCGGAGTGACCAAATATGGCAATGAATCGATCAATGGATATCATAAGGAGAAAAAGTAGAGATGCAGAAAATGGAACTGTCGAGAGCAGCAAACCAATTGATTGATGCTTGAAGGTACAGTACATTGTCAATGGCATAAGTCTTATGATGAATACAATCAACAAACTTGCAAAGCCAGTTATGCCATCGGCTATTGCTAAGTTCACAATAAAAAAGTTAGCCACCGTTTGTAATGGGAGGTATGTTCTATATGTAACAATGACAAGTATATTTCCTAATATTATCCATAAAGTAATAGTAACTCCAAATGTTATTTGTAAAGCTATAGCAAAGTCTCCTGAATCTGCCGACTCTGATGCTCCAGAACTGTTTAACATGGTGGATGAATTATCCATGACTCTGTTATGTCCATTTTACAACTATCGTTTTATTTCATTTTTTCAAATTTTTTTATATCTTGAGATAATTAAGCACCAATGCACTCAAATATCCATCATAACGTCTTTCCAACAAAGGCAGATACTTATAGATGAGCTCTGGATCTTTCAGAGATGTCCAAATATCTGTATTACTTTCAAAGTGACAAATTGCTTTTAGAAAAATTTCTCTTGCCCATTTAACCGTTACCAAGGGGACCGGGTCAAATGTTATCAAAATATGCCAGTTTTATCATTTATGCTAACTGTGGAATGAGTAAATAGAAGTTCAGTTTCAACAAGACAAATATTGGGATTAAAATTGAAAACGATGTTAAACTTATGTAATTGTGTTGAACAGGGGAGTAAAGCTGAACTTTCTTTGAATTCATTTCACGAAAAACCTTTAGATTTTGAACCAATCCCGATGTGCTTATTCTTTATGCTCATGAATTGCGGTATCCATTTAACTGTGCAAATAAGTTTACATTAACAAATATATATTATTAATGCAATCCCATTAGAATATATACTTCTTTTCTCTATTCCTGATTCTATCTATTATTTCATTAGATTTTGCACTTAAGGGACAAGATGAGAATCGCCAAAAGGGCATTTATTTATTGGCAATGACCACACATAAATGAACCGAGTCATTACATTTTACATTCTACATTAACAAAAATCAATAATGTAGCAATTAAACCCCAACAAAATATGATTTCCAAGATAAACATGTAAGTATTTTTTGTTACGATAATAAGCAATTTATAATTAAAAAACACTTAGAAATGGCCATTTTGAAAAACATAATTTTGCTTAAAAATTCGATGAGTATTTGCTAATGTTGACAAAATGTAATTTCATGGACTTTCTGTAAGTCCATGGTAATTTAGATAAAACAGAAAAATTGATGAGCAACTTTTTTTCTCAGTTAAACTTTGTTGGGATAATAAAAACAATCAGGAAGTCCATTTTGAGGCTATTTGTGGAGGGCACACATAATGTGCTGTTCTTTTTATCGCTATCACCCTTTACATACCTGATCCACCGGAATTTTATGCTGTTCCATGTATTGTTTGTCTGTAACTTTACCCCCCTCACAGTACTCCATGGTTAGAACTCGGTCAGTGGAAAGGTCCCAGTAGATTTTTGGCACCTGTCATTGGTAATCAAAAGATTAGAATTATGTTCAAAGATGAGCTTTATTTTGAACATTTTTTTCTCAATGACAACAATATTTTGACTATTTTTTTACAAATTTTTAGCGTTAAAAACTATTTCCGTACATGTATGTTTCTATGATGGATATGACTAGGCTCAATTGAAAAACAAAGTGTGGTGAGATTGGTACCTTGAGGAATGAGAAATCTTTGTATATTTTAGCAACCCTTTCGCAGTTTGCTCCTTCATGAAGAAAGTCCATTTCTAGTGGTAGATTTTTTTTTGTTTCTTCAGATATCCAGAGAAACTGAAACTCTGGAAACAACCAAGCTACACCTTTCACCAATACCTGTAATATAAGAAAATATCATATGTCTATGAGAATCTAAGCAATTTGATAGGTTAATTACTCAGATGCGAGTATGGAGTTGCCACTTTTGCCACCAGGTGGCTGATTTGGGGGAAATAACATGGCAGGGTATATGACAAAATTCCTTTAAACTTGAATAATCATCAGTTTTAGTGGTTCACTTTTTATATTACCCTTATGTGTCTGATAGTTATACAAATTAAAATATGTCCAGTAAAAGAAAATGTTATCTGCCCAACACAAGAAAAGATATTTCACTTTTTGTGATTTTACAACATGGGATCTATGGGAAATCTCCCCTACCTAAAAGTCACATTTTCAAAGAAAATTAAATTTTCAAAGTTGATAAACTCTTTTCAAAACCACATTTCTAGTTGTAATTTTACATGAAGATTCCAAATATGACATCATTTTGCCTGAATTTTTAAGGAAGTTGATCAAGATTTTTTCTAATCGCATCTGGTGTATTGTGGTGCTGCATATAATAGCATGTAATAGACTGCGGACTATTCTGTAGAAGTGCTCTAGAAATGGATCTCGCTTTTCATGGAAGGTCACACATTCCAACATATTTCAAACAATTTGTATGATTATAATAAACACTTTCTGGGTAGTTGGACTTCATGTAGGGGTGGCAGAAGGCCCTCAGGCCAATTTATACCCCTACCCCAACAAAACCTTGGGGGTACTTTAATACCACCCAATAAAAATAATACTTATGCATATCAGATATTCATCGTTTTATAGTGGGTAGGGCATGCCATGGTTAGTCAGTGCCAGAAATTTCCAATCTCTGACTTATATGGTTACCATGGAAACAGTATTTATATCTCACAATCTTCTCAATTTGACCCCGTCCCAAATGTGTCCTTAAGTTCTCAAAGTGAAATATTTGCAAATCTGTTTGGATTTTGTGGCTGCAACTTTGTCAAAAGTTGAATTAATATGTATGTATTCACACTAAAGCACTAAAAACTTGATATAATGATCTCATAAATTAATAATATTTATCAAATGTAGTCACACACAACTGCTTTTAGGGAAAAGTGGGCGTGGCACTTTTTGGTACTTGTGTAATTGTTGCAGCATTAAATGAAAAATACTTATTACACTAACAACAATTGACATTTAATTAGCATCTACTAACATTGTGTAACATTCTAGTATGTTCATTATCATTATTAGATACTTTAAATATTTTATATAAGTGTTATCATGACCCTTCCCTATCATAGGTCATTAATGGTCAAATTAACTTTTAAGTCCTAGAGGTCCTTAGTCTTTTTAGCTTGTCAAAGTCGTATTCATTGACTTGAAGCTAGAATATAAATAGTTTCATTGATCAAGAGCTATGAGTTAAAATTGATTAATACATTTGTCAGGGTTAGAGCCATTTTACCCTTTGCATTCGTTTGACTTCACTTCTTAAAAGAGAGCTTCGTCTTCACTCTTTCAAACTAAAATAAACCTGTGAACTCACCGCGCCAATCAGTGTTCGTCGGCCAAATTTCACCGACGTTCTATACAAGGGGCGATCCATATATTCTGATAAAAATGCTCTAATTTTGTGATTTTTTCACATATCCCTTTCATTTTTTCAGAACATGTAGGTTATGTAATTACACATACAATGCTAAAATATTTAAGCTATATCTTAAATTAATTTTGAAATAAGGTTGCCATGGTAACCTGTATTTAGGTTAGGCAGGTCAGTTAAATTATAATGTCTAAACTAGATAAATATGTTAATTTAATCATTCCTTGGTACCTATTTTAAGCAGATCAAACCCATCTTCCAGTCATTGCCAACTATTCATTGATCTGTTCTATACCCCTGATACCCTTGTTTGATAATTTACACAGTGGGATAGCTATCTTTTAATAAGTAACATCTCAATTTATCGTAGTGTTATTCTCTGTCAACAAGCTCTTCTTGCAACCAGATTGTGGATGATCTTCAACAGTGACCATGCCTTCCTCTTTACAATACTACCTATAGATTCTTTATGTAGAAATAACACCTTACCCATGCACTAAATGAGTCCATGTAAGTCTCTGACAGTGTCCTCTTACTTATTCTTGAAAGAAAATAAAATCTAATGGTATTCCCTAATGTATCTGTTAATGTCACACTATGCATCAGCCACATTAACCTCATCTGACAATTTGATTTTGGTGTGTCTCATAACATGTAATGTCAATTGGCCCATTCTGTCCTACAATACTATTGTGATTTGTTGTGATGTTATAGTGAGCACATATTATAATAATTTGTTTAGCAACAAACAACGAGTAACAATAGCAAACTTTTTTTGAAAAAATGCATGATTTCCGTATGCTTTAAAATAATTAAGATAACAAGTTATTATGATATTTATATGTTATAATTTAATTGACCTGCCTACCCTTAATACAGGTTACCATGGCAACCTTATCTCATTGATAATTTAAGATATAGCTATAATATTTTAGCATTGTATATGTAATTACATAATCTACATTTTCTGAAAAAATGAGAGGGATATGTGAAAAAATCACAAACTGAGAGCATTTTTATCAGAATATATGGATCGCCCCTTGTATATGGTCATTCCTTCTGACGTCATTGTTGAGCCCGGAATTGACAAATGACACGCGCATATTTAATTAGAACGCATTTGGCGTATGTTTCTTCAAACTGGCTGATTGGTGGAATAAAGGTCAGCGCGTAGGTCAAAAGTGATTTAATTACCCAAACTGTCACCGGTACCCGTCGTGGGGGCGGGACTACTGAACTGTAATATGGTCTCTACTAGGCAGAGTGTAGTTTAACTAGACTCTGCACGCAGGGTAGAGACATTTTATGCAATTGAAAAGTAATGGACCGACACTGATCAGTACCAAGTGAAGGTAACGGCCATAACCTTCGCATCTAAGATGGCGGACAGTAATTGTCGATTTTGATATTTTTAATTTTCATTGAATTAAACTACTTTAGAGTTGATGTTATGCTTTGACATTTGCACCAAATCAGGCTTAAATGACATTGGAACCATAGATGTAGTAAACATGAATAAACGATATGTGAAATGTTATGCCCTGCCTTAATACATAACTAAGATTTTCTCGGATAAATGGTGTCTTACAATTGACTAACTGATTCTATTATCAACATCAGGTAATTAGTGTGGGAGCAAAAGTCCAAATAAGAGGTTCCGTGTCCTTTTTAGAGGCGAGCTAAGCGACATATGTTTTCATGAACTATACGTGATACTGATCAAGAAAAATGATGTTGGCAATTCTGAATCCGCGACGGCGTTGCTATGGTAACCAAGTGAATATGCCACGCCCACTTTTAGGGGCTCTTTTCAGTGTATGGCCCCTATCTCTGTCATTATTGCTCAGATTTAGATGAAATTCACACCAAATGGAAGGTAATGGATAATGCAATCAGGAAATATTAAGTTGGCAATTCTGAATCCGATATGGCGTTGCTATGGTAACAAAGTAAATATCCCACACCCACTTTTAGGGGCTCTTTTCAGTGTTTGGTCCCTATCTTCGTCAATATTGCTCAGATTTAGGTGAAGTTTGTACCAAATGAAAGGTAATGGAAAGAGCAATCAAACAGTTTATAAATTATGCAAATAAGGTGATTTGCATATTAATTATGACGTCATAACCATTTGTTCTTGCACATTTAATTTTATTCATGATGTATAAATCTGGGAAATTATTGTCATTAAAATGGTCAGTAATGCTTTATTTTCGTTGAGTTTATGAGATTATGTCATTCATACATGTATGGTCATAAAAAATTGAAAAAATGTTATGAAAATATCCAATTCAAGTTGTTGCTATGGTAACGGTATGTTGCAAAACTATCTGCTGTAAAAATAATTCTTTGGGAAATGTTACATTTTGACCAGTTGACTGACATGTATTCCTTCGAAAATTTGACGGCAGAGAATAACCTAATAACGATAGAAACTTATCTAATTTAAATTGTGTTATATTATGATGTCACAATGGCAATTATTAATCAGGGGTGCAGCCAGCTTTCAATCAGGGGCGCAGCCAGCTTTCAATCAGGGGCGCAGCCAGCTTTCAATCAGGGTGGGGGGGGGGTGCGATCTCGGCATAAGCAACTCAAAAAATGTTTTTTAAATTCCTTCAAAACTGAGCTAGAAACTTCAAGTCAAAAGCATTTTAAATCTCTTCTTCTCTCTAATGGTTCTACCCTGGCTATGCCTATGTTTGCTATGGTATTTCATCAAATGGAAACTAAAGAATCAGACAATGCATGGGGAATGTAGATTGACAGACTGGCATACCTGTTATGTTAGGACTATCATAGTTGTTTTCGTGATTATTTTCTTGAAATAAGGTAAAATTGCTCAAGATGATTCCAAATTGGTACCTTTGGTCCGTTGACATTCACCATAAAAGTAGGTCAAAGCTGAAAACTATTATTGATTTTCATTCTATTTCTTTACATGTATAAAGTATGATCAAGAAATAGTATGGGCAATTCTGATCTGCGATGCCGTTGCTATGGTAACCAAGTAAATATGCCATGCCCATTTTTAGGGTCTCTTTTCAGTGTTTGGCCCCCATCTCCACCATTATTGCTCAGATTTTGATGAAATTCAGACCAAATTGAAGGTAATAGATAATGCAATCAGGAGATATTAAGTTGAAAATTCTGAATCAACAATGGCGTTGCTATGGTAACAAAGTGAATATGCCCCACCCACTTTTAGGGGCTCTTTTCAGTTTTTCGCCCTTATCTTCTTCATTATGGCTCAGATTTAGATGAAATTTGCACCAAATTAAAGGAAATAGATAGAGTAATCAGACAGTTAGTAAACTTTGCAAATAGGATGATTTGCATATTGATTATGACGTCATAACTGTTTGTTCTTGCATATTTTATCTTAATCATGATGTTCTAATCTGTGAAATTATTGTCTTTAAAATAGTCAGTAATGCTTCTAACT